GTATCCAGCGCTTCAATGGCAGACAGTTATAAAACCGAACAGTTATGGCGCTGTTGAAAAAGAAATAGCAAGCTGAATACAAGGTACAGAAAAAACAAAACCTAAAACACAAATACAAATGGCCCATCAAATAAACTTTTCTGAAGTTATACTGCATGTTCTGAAAGCAGTAAAAAGTGTAGACAGGTAATAAAATTTTACACAGATGTGGACACTTTTTCACCCATTAACCCAAGGATCGATGTTGGGAACATTTTTCTTCTTGCTTTATATATCGAATAGCAGTGGAACTGTGGAAACGTTTTACATGACATTTAATATCAATGTTACCATCCACCCTTTACCGACAGATGGTATTACGGGCATCTTCTTTGTAAGTCAGATGCTATTATCTGCCAGCACGCTTGGTCAGCGCTATTAAAAGACTGAGCTGTTGTAAATGATTTGTTGCAATCATACGTGGTCATGCTAGCTGCTCGCTTACAGGAAACAGAAGACAAGAGACAATGCTTGCCTAGTCCCTAGAGACTTGTGACTCCGCTGATGAGGGGCCAGGAAGGAAACGTTCGGAGAGAAAGTCAAACCAACACACGACACTTTTGTTTTTGTTTTTTGTTTTTTTGTTGTTGTTGAACATTCCCCTACTTAACTTTCTAAAGTGCCACGCAGCTCATCGGATTTTTTTCCGTTATTTGTTTGTGTGACTTTTCTATTCTGCTTCTCAGCTAAAATGTTCGTTTATAACTTTGCTTTTATTAGTTTTTTTTTTTTACCCGGGAGAGGGGGGTACTGCCATATATGGGCTATGTAGGTATGTGCCGCTGTGAAGGGTATGGTTTTCAGGCAGTTTACTCTAGGATAGGGTATATAAATCAGAGAGTTTGGGTCTACAATAGGGTATCATTTTTCAGGAAACTGATCAGTTGCTTGAAGATTTTATCTACACTAGGGAAACAGCTACTCTAGGATAGGGGAGATTTGGGGAGTTTACTCTGGTATAGGGTGGCAAAAATCAGCTGAACTAGCTCTGGTATAGGTTAAGAGTTCCAGGGTCCCAGCGGCACATTCCCACCCAGAAATTCGTACAGTACCCTCCCCCCGGGTTTTTCCCCAAGGTGTTAAAATCCCGCGGCCATTTGCCTTCCTTGCGGTTAGGCATATGGCAATCTGCGGTAAGGTGACAAGCAATTTAATGTTGCGTCTGCGATTTCCAATTTTAAAAAAAATTCTCTCTAAAAATATTTTTCCCTTTGGAACAGTTAAAACGGAATCAAAGAACATTTGGATCTGTTGACAGTGACTTTATAAAAAGCAACAGACCAAAGAACACAAGCTGCATTACTTAATGGGGTTAATTTATTACAACAATACCATATTCGGAAATATTAGCGGGAAAAATGAAGACGAATTTTTTCTCGTTTAATTTTCGCTTGTGCACATGCTGGCTATCTTGTGATCTTCACCGAAACAGGGAAATAATTACTATGACGACAGCAAGGTGAGTAATTACAAATATTTACATAGAGAAAATGTTTTAGCTAAAATTGCGAGTGGACTGTTATGTCGAAGACGTGTCGCCATAAAGATGCTTGATCTTAATGTTCGCTGAAGCTTAGAATTGGTTATGAGGACCAGCTCAGTCGCTAATGAAACTGTTAAACATTATGGCGTTACCATCAATAAAGCCAAGAGGCTTCGAACAGGACAATCATTTTACTCGTAGAAATGTTAAACTTTGTGTGTTATAAACCCGATACATGTAAATATAACTTATAAGCCGGCCTGCAAAAAAACCTGGATCTTTCCTCAGGAAATATTTGTAAACTTGAGCATTAAATTTATAGGCATGCTGAGTGATATTTCAAGCGAAAAATTGATCCTTTTTGACCTGGGTCTAACAAATACAATGGGGCATTAATTTACTTGTGTTTAACAAATACAGCAAAAATACGCGGGGGTGTTAATTTGCCTGTGTCTAACAAATACACTGGGGCATTAAATTGCCTGTGTTTATATTAACAAATACACTGGGGCATTAAATTGCCTGTGTTTATATTAACAAATACACTGGGGCATTAATTTGCCTGTGTTTAACAAAATACACGGGGCAACTATTATTACTGACTTTTTTAATGGCTTTACTCTATATATCAATGGTTGAAATAAGAACTTTAGTTCGAAGGGACAACCTGAAATTTTGGCCGCAGTAGTCGTAAAAAGCTTGTAAGTTTTAAATTGTCAAAAAAAATATCAGTTTGTTTTTCACCTACCCTAGCCTACCCTATCTTCAATTAAAGTGGCGTCAAAATATATTATCATCAAACCCATTCAAAATACCCTTATATTTCAGCTTAAAACACATGGAAAAGAATAAATCTTTAAGAAAAGGGTATTGAAACAATACTCCACACCCTGGCCGACAAATAGGGATACAAACAAACGCAAAAACTAAAACAGAGGTAGATTAGCAAGTAACAATTCCAACTTGCAAAAAGCAACTAGAGCCAGTTCAATATTTACAAGCTATAAGTTTCACCGAGGAATTGAATAATAACCCAATGCAGGGAAAACTCCTAGCTAGTGATTTGAGGCTAGTGCACCCACGGGATCAGTGAAATCTAACGTTAAGGCCTTAAGCCACTCTAGCATGTCACATTTCAAATAACACGTTCACAGCGCTACAATGTTCCGAAACTTCTAGATCTCAAATTGTCTTCCGAACAGATATTTTCCGCAAATTGACGTCCCATGTATAAAGAGGAGTAGTTTTGTATCCATTTATGCTGCTAGGTAGTGGCAATTTAACTGCAGGTGGAAAAATGAGGGCCCGATATTTGATAGTCAACTTTTATAATATTTTTAAGCCAATTAGAAAGCAGAATACAATTTTTCCAAAAAGATAAATTGCCGCCCTTGCGTGCAAGTGTAAACACTGTGCATAAAGTCAAACTTGGAGTTGTCAGCTCAAGTGTTTTTACTTTCGGACATGAACAGAAGCTATAACTGCTCTTTACCCATTTCTACTGAAGACATCGTTTTCGCCACATTATACTCGTTGATCGTTTTCTTTGGCGTCTTGGGGAACGTAATTGTTATCACCATCGTGCGCAACACGCCTTCAATGCACACGCCAACCAACTACTTACTGTTGAACCTGGCTGTTGGCGATTTGATAGCGCTGTTGTTTTGCCCCGGTTTCTATGAATTTGCTCTAAAAAACGTCCAACTCGGTGCAACAGTTGGAGACGTCATGTGCAAGCTTTTCTTTGGAAACGCCACTGTTTGTGTCGTCTGGGACGCCTCGATTTTAACTCTTTGTGTCATTGCAATCGAACGCTTCATTGGTATCGTTAAACCATTCAACAACGACTGGGCTCTCACGAAAAAGAGAGTATCCTTGGCTATTGTCATTATTTGGGTAATGGCAGTTAGTTCAAGCTTTCCGGACATTTTATTGACCAAGCATACCAATAATCGAAGTCGCTTGCATTTCTGTAGTCCTTGCGCCCGTCCATGGACCGTTCTTAATCAGTCTTTCCTGGTGAAAACTTACACTGTTACTCATTCTGTCGTCTTGATCGTGTTTCCCTCTGCTATAATTCTATTCTGCTATATTTCTGTCTTCTCAGCATTGAAGTGGGGCCCAGGAGACTCGCTACCAGACAAAATGAGTCGAAAGGAGACGCAAAAGCTTTTAAAACTTCTGGTTTCTTTAGCAGTGGCATTTTGCGTATTGTGCCTTCCGTTTGCAGGATTTTTTTTCTATGTCCCTGCGCACGATGTGAGAAACCCTAAATCGGAGGCATCTTTGTTACTCACGCTCAGAATTGTTCGTTTTCTTGCCTTTTCCAATTCTTTTGTTAATCCACTGTTATACGCTGCTCAAAGCTCGAATTACAGACTTGCCTTGAAGAAATATTCACGTTGTAGAAATAACGCAAACGATGGTAGAGACCAAAGTTTACGCATGGCTAACAGGAGCAGGAAATATAAACGTGATCACGTTGTGAAAGCGGAAGAAGGAGTTTAACGTAACAGCTGTTCAAATGCATGTCCCGAGCCTGTTTACACAAACCCAACCTAATTACAGCTGTCGGCTTACATTAGTTTCCAAGTGAGAGCCGTGCAAATTTTTTGCATCTTAATACTTTCTTTTGTATCTTCCAAGACATTTAAAAATGAAATAAAAGGAACAATAAAAGTGAGAAAGAAATCCTTTTTGAAAAAGAAAAAGCCCGGGGATGTTCTTAGTAATTGAGGACTGACTGACGTCAGTAGAGCATATCATTAAGGGACTGGGGGCTAGGAGGCGCAGAGGGATTATTCGCAAGAGACTGAGAACTAGTTCAAAGAGAAACAACCTTCTTTTAATGCTTAACAAGTAACGTATCTTGCCCATTGTAATTAGGAAGGAAACCGTTGACTTTCTATGGGAATAAAAGTGCGTATGATCCAAGGTTGTTTTCAATGGATTGGCTTTTTAAAGGCTATAGAGTATTTTCTGCTTTTCAGAAGTTTTGGGCAAAAACTACTGAAATATTATGGAGCTGAGCGTGGCTGAGTAGTTAGCTTGTCCAACCTGCAATCTGCGCCTCCCAAAAATGAGTTTCAGTCTGTTCTGACCAATCACTGCTGGATTTTTTTCATCGGTATTTTCATCACCTCGGACACGCGTCGTTAATATAGCCCGACGTTAAAGGAGCAATGACACGAAATTTATCGATTCCAAACAGTGGGAACCACCACCAAAATGAGTGAAAGATAAAAATAACAGCTCAGGATATGAAAAGAAGGTATAAATAACACAGCGAATACAGAAAGAGAAACAGATAGACAAACTTGAAGAAGATTGAAACGGGTTGCATTTGTGCTTTTGAAAACTTGTCACCTTAAAATTTTTCAAATTTCCATTTCATTTTGTTGTTTGTTGCGTTTGATGTAATATTTATATATAGAGGATATTACACGGTGGCCAGTCCAGGATCGTTATCAAATTTGATAACCATTTGACGTCACAACATGGTGGCCATTTCAACAGTCGGGAATTTTCGTACTCGCCTTTCTTTATCCGAGATTTTGTCCGATCTTATTCGGTGTAAACTCGTCGGGTACCCATGGTTCTGTTCAGCAAGGCCAAGGAGTTCACATGTTTCAAAATGGCAGATGTGTATCAAGCGTATTGAAGTAAATTTCCCTCTCAAAGTGAAGCGTCCATCAGATTTTTGGTCCGACATCAGGTATGTTTTTCCACTTCGTTGTTAAATTAAATGTACTTGTCGATTTTTGTGAGAGTTTGTTTGTGAAATCTGGCGTTGTTTCCAAGGTTTATGCTTTCGATTCAGCATGTTTCTGAAAAAAGTGCATCAGGTATTTTTATTTGCAATGCGCTTTCAATAATGTCGGCCATATTTGATTGATGTCTTCTAATTGTAATTGTAATTGTAATTATCTTATTATCCACTCCCCTCAGGGCTTTTCAGGGATAATTTACAACACTGGTTGGGGGACTTTGCCAGACTGCTTAAGGTGCAGTTTACAAGTACTGAAGGAATGAGTGATGATGCCTCCATATATGAGTGTGAAAGTGAGATAGACCACTACACCGGGCACTACGTGCCCTACTCTTTACGAAGAGGCGGTTAGCTCAAGGTGCTTAGTTATGTCGCCTTTGTGGCAAGGTCAAGAAATTTACTTTTTAGGAAACGATTTGGGTCTGACGCGCCGTATAAAGGAAAATTGTTTTAAGGCTTGAAAACATGAGAGGAAGTGACTGCGCGCTGAAATTTTTCAATACCGCTTAACACTTAGTCACTGTCAAAAAATACTGTCAGTCAAATTCCCTTCGCCAAGCAACAACCAAAGTTCTAGCATAAAGCTAATCTATTATAGTACTCATTACTGTAATGTTCATGTAAACCGGAAGTTATTGATACCGGATGTTCGCTAGGAACTATGGGAGATAGGTAGCAAAACGATCATGGCGTCCACATATGCTGTAACACGTCTTCTTGTAAATGTTTATTAAATCGTTGTTAGTCGTTTGCATCCTGTTTTGAAATCCATTCAAAACATCACAATTACGAAACGTTTTGACCGAGTTCGAATTAAATTGCAACAAATATGACTCTTCGTGCTATTCCACTCCGCATTTCAGTAACGCAAAATATATTTACGTGTGAAACATGCATTAATTTGCATATGCAAATTTTCAGGTTTGCGCTACAACGGCTTTCGCTACCTGTACAATAAAAAATTTAAACAGTTATTTGTAAATGCTAATCAATGGAAGGCATACTCATTGTCTGCATGTTCCGTTTTTGTTTCATTGACAGATCTTTGGACAACAACCATCATCGACATCATCTCCTCGTGACAAGAGGAAAATAAAGCAGAATGAACTTCGAAAAAGCAAACTTCTGTAGACGATGTTAAAAATAAAACCTCTATCCTTAACAGAATAACCATTGTCTTCCATCACTGTGTCTCTATAATTTGAACATTTCAGTAGAAACAAACTACGTATGAGTTTGATGATTTGTTTGAAATATACGAAGCTTTCCGCACAGGTCTTATTTGCATATTTGGAAAACTGCGTCTCGAATACAATTTCACCAGTTTTACAATCTACTGCGAGATGTCTGTTATAAAAAATTGCCATGTACATGAGTTGCTGTCTCGGCAGTGCTCCTTTCGATTTCTGAAAACATCTCGACATTGGCTCGTGGTTTGTTTTGGTCGAGGTTATCAAATTTGATAACGATCCCGGACTGTTGGCGCGAAGATGTGAATTATATTTTCGAGTGGCAAAAAAATATTTTACGAACAGTGGGTAAAATTTTGTTTTTGCCACTCGAAAATAAAATTCATATCTTCAAGCCGCCGTGTAATGTTCTTTTTATTATATGGACAAAAAGACATTGATAAAATAATAGAAGGAAATTACCGAAATTACGTCATCGATAAACTCACGTGCGAGATTATGGAAAATAGACGACTCGAGTCCCGGATGTAGTTTTTATGAATTTTACGAGTGGTATATTTTCCAGTAAAACACTCGTGTCTATATAATAGATTTATATATTTGATATTCTTGGGAGACTAAATTTGTTCGACTCGAAACTCTCATTTTGTCATTTACAAGGAATTAATGAAGTTTCATAGCGAATGAGGACTATCTTTTTGAAAAGCTAAACCTTTTTCGCATCAATTGAATTCCAAAAATATTGTTCCAGTTTAGTTGTTTAAGACCGTATTTAGGCTTATTTAGGCACTTAAAAATGCTGTCTCCTGTCGACTTTTGCAACGATTGGCAACAATGGACACGAATTGAAGCTTGAAAAAGTTTGGCCAACGTTTTCAAGTTTGACGGTATTATCCCTGCAAAAAACTACTAAAAAGGTATGGTTGGTGCACCCTATGAAATTTATCTGATGTCTTTCTAACTATACAGGAGCATTTTGAGTGTGTCCTTCCGTTCAGCGGTGACCTTCAAGGAAACTTCAATGACTCTGTGATCCCTCCAACACTGAGTGTTTTTTTCCCAATAGTAAGAGCTGCCAAACTAGGTTTTGAAGAATTCACCAGTGCCACCATTCTCGACCTTGTTAAGAACGGCTTTTTTCTTGTGTAGGGGAAGGTTGGTGAGGTTCAACCCCTCTGGTCATGCTTGTAACTGTGGAGCCGTCTGGAATGTCACGATGAACGTTTAAACTCTGGATTAGGAAACTCCTTTTTTCGTAAGATTACATAACTAGCTTGCCTCGCTACCTTTTTCAAGTCACATTACCAGACTATTTTCGACGATAAATGTGGCTATGACCACTTGCGTCTATCCGGACACGTTTTCTCCCACAGAAGTAAAAAATTGGTTAAATCTATCTGCAATAGTTTTATCGTCATCGGTATAAACCCTAACACTCGCCGATTTCCATATGACCATGTATTCCAAAGAAATCGGTGAGTGTAAGGGTTTACAGCGATGACGATATTGCAGATAGAGTATATCAATCAATTCAGAAAAAAGGAGAGAAATGTATAAGTAAAACTGGGTTCCACAATTAAACCAAAAAAAGGAAAAATAATTAAAGGATAAAAAAAGAAACAATTATGATGATGGTACTAGTTTTAAAGAGAGAGGGAAGAGTTGGCCATGATTTTGTCGTTAGCGATATAGGAAACGTTCGTTGCCGGTTTTCTTTGTTGACGGAGCCACCTTCGGTCGAGGGAAATTTGACTTCGGACCAACGCCGTGTCCAGTCTCGAAATCACGGCGTCTGGAGAAAGAATGTTGGATATGGCGCGAGAAAATGCTCATTTCTAGCAACATGCGTCGGGCTATTTCGCTTTTGAACGTTTACTGCGGTGTAGCGAGCGGATAGAACTTTGCCTCTTGTCCAAAAAGTACGCGATTCGATGGGTTTTCGGGCCGCTAACCGCCTTCGAGACCTTTAAGTAGACAAGGTCCGGCCGGACCGCCGGCTGTTTTTTCTGTGCTGTCTTTCCTTCATATTTTGAAGAGAGTGACAGGGGTCACACAATATAACAGCCAAAAACTCGACTAAATGGATGAATCCACACCAAAAAAACACAGGAATACATCAAAGTAAGTCTTCTTTATATATTCTATAGAAAAAAAAAAGTAAAAATAAAATCATATTTAGCGTTCGCAGACCTAGGTACATTATACATTGTAGTCTCAACGGTCGCTTGTAACACAACACCGACTCTCTTGTGAGAAAATAATACATTTATTTAAACACACTTGAACGTGAGTTTGGGACACCTGTAGCCAGCGAACAGCAGACGTATTTCCGGTCGTCGTTTCTCTCCCATATGTCTGCTGTTGGCTGGCTAGGGACACCTGTGGACATTCCAGCGTTTTGCAGCTAGGCACTTCTCAATTCACTTCTTTATTTCACACGATATAAGATATTTACACAAGTGTACGTAGGTAGGAAAATAAAGTAGTTGATAATAATTATTAACTAAAAGACATTAAGTTCGTTTGTGCACAGTGTCCAAAGCAGCAAGGGCTTTCTTGTTGGACATCGTCATGTTTAGAAAATCGGCAGCAGTAAAGAGAGGAAATAAAATCTCAGATAATATCAGTGATAGAACATATAGGCAAGGTCAGATCTAGTTTGTTAGAAGATAGGACTTCCATTCTTTCTTAAACTTATGATATGCAGGACACTTGAGACCAGGCGGTACAGTCTCCCAGAATTTTGGAGCGGAGAATTTAAAGGGCGTTTTACCTAAGTTGGTGGAAGCTCTTGGCCTAAAATAATTCAGATTACTGACAAATCTTGTATTATGATTGTGTCTACGCGATGCTGGAGTCAGGACATCAAGGAAAATATCTGGAATGCTACCATTTTCATTTCTCATTCTATGTATAAAGCAACATATTTTTCATTTATATAGATTATCTAATTTAAGGATTGTTAGGAGTTTGAAATAGGGGGCAGCACTCTCTCTAGGATGTACAAAGAAGATGGTGCGGAGACATTTGTTATGCTCAATACGAAGACAATCTAATCTGGTTTTGCTGGCACATCGCCAGGCAAGAATACCCTAACTCAAATAGGGATATATTAAAACATAATAAATTTGTTTCAGTATATTCAGATCTATATAATATCTTAGTTTTGAAAGGATTGCTAAATTTTTAGCCAATTTATTATTTACATACTGTAGCTGTGGTTGCCAATTGAGATGTTTATCTACATAAACTCCCAAGTGTTTCAAAATGTAATCTTTCTGTCCAGTCAATACCAGTGATATTTATCTTTGGGTGACACCTAGATGACGAGAATAACATACAATTGGTCTTAATGTTAATAGATAGCTTATTTAGAGCAAAGTAGTTATAAATTTGTTTAATTCATTACGGATTCAAGCTGTTTTAAGTTGTCGCTAGAGTAAAATAAATTGGTGTCATCGGCAAAGCTTCATCCGCACCGAAAGTTTGTCAGCAGTAATGCTTCAGCAAACTTAACCGTTTTGGTGGATTCCCTTTGGATTCCCTCGCAAAAAGTGGATTCCCTTAATTAATAGGCATATGGGTCTAGTCAATGACGTCACCCATTGTTATAACCTAGGGAAAAAATGCGTTCCTTCATATTAATTAAGTGCCTAGTCAGTACCTTCCTCCATACTAATTATGTGCCTAGTCAGTGTCTTCCTGCATACTAATCTGGGATAGGTTTACTAATGAGCCTCACTCTACTACAATAGGAACAATAGGCTTGCCTAGACTTGCCCGGTAAGTAACTTGAGCCTGGTTTTCGGACCGTCTATTAAAAGGAAAATAAGAGGGGTCACCTAGCAACGCGAGAAACGGCCTCTTATATCTTATTTAGCGCTAAAACTCAGATATACATAAACAAAACACGTACAGAAAGTGGAGTTGAAGAGTATTTATTTCAATTTAGTTTACGTCTTCTTATTTAGCGCTAAAACTCGGATATATATAAACAAAACATACACAAATTGGAGCTGAAAAGTCTTTATTTCAAGTTTGTCTGACTATTACAGAACTGTTTTCTCCCATCTATCTCGAGGACATGAAAAACTATTGAAGGCTCAACGTTTCACGCACGGTTAATCAGGTAATTATGCGAGTTCACAAGCCCAAAGTTGAATACAAATTAGCTCTACAGGAAAAGCCTCAAGGGAGCACCTTGACGTATTATCATAAAACAAATAACTTAACAAGGATCAATTAAAACACGCGACTAATAATTGCTAGCAATCAAATCTGACACGAGATACCGTTTAAAACAAAAAGAGTCAAATACACAGCTATTTGAAAGAAATCTATTAAAATAGTCAAAGAAAGCAAAAAATCTTTTTTACCACGTTTCCCTCCTCAATTTTTTTATTCCCTCCTCCACAATTTTATTATTTTCGCTCCTCATTCTCGAATTCCCTCCTCCACAATTTTAATATTTTCCCTCAACTTTTTTTTTATTCCCTCCACCACAATTTTGATATTTTCTCTCAATTTTATTATTTACCCTCCTCCTCCTCCTCCTCATTTCTATTGTTTTCCCTCCTCCTACTCCTCCTCCTCCTCCTCCTCCTCCTCATTTTTATTGTTTTCCCTCCTCCTCCTCCTCCTCATTTTTGTTTTCCCTCCTCCTCCACCTCCTCCTCCTCATTTTTATTGTTTTCCCTCCTCCTCCTCCTGGAAATATATCGGCTCTGGAAATATATCGTGCTAATTCCAGACCAGCTCGGTCTTCTAGCCCTACTAAGGTCGTCCGTGACCTTAGGTCGTAATTCTGAGTGTATTGGCGGTTTCGAAACTCTTGGTCCAGTCATCTTCCTTGGATGGACGAACGCCATTTAACTGTTAAAGTAACTAGTGACGCATCTACGTTCGCTTGGGGTGAGCCAATAGACAATTCTCATTGGCTGCACTAAATAGAGAGTCGCAGAGGTGAGAGCGTAGGTGGAAAACTGCGCTCGCAAACTGTCGCGTAGACGCACTTAGATTCTCTTACATAATTTTCAAGCCTGGGAAGAACAGGGTGGCAAAAATAAACTAAAGCTAATAAGCTAATAACTAATAAGCTAAATGACGCTCTCAAACAACTGTCAGAAGTTCTTCCTACACAGAACATTTCCCTCAGATTATTTTACGTGCCTTCGTCCCTTAAAGAAGCCGACAGCCTTTCGCATGTCTTGTCCGACAAAGATTGCAAGCTCGCAAACGAACCATAGTAGACGGTTGAAAACCTCTTGGCCTGCACCCAATAGACCTTATGGCTCTCGATTTCAACGCTCAACTCGGAAACTCAGGTTCCCCTCTCCCTCATTTTCCCCCTTTCCTGACTCCGGACTCCACGGGAGTTAGTGTTTTCGCTCAGGATATGTCCCCCTACCAGAACGCTATGTTTTCCCGCCTCTCCTCCGTTTTCTTGATGAGGCTTCGTTCTCGTTAACGCCACTAGTCCCGAGGTTAAACCCGCTCCCGTACTTCTGGCCTCTTATGCACACTTAAGCGTTTCATTCGGTTATCCTAAGCAGAAAGGCAGACCACGATATTTTGCTATTCCCGTCACCTCAAAACGTTTTCCTTACTCGCCTTCTATCGTGGGATCTCTAACGCCTTTTGGGGCTATTAATTCTCCTTCTTTGCTTCATCCCTCCGTCCTAGTGATTAAAGATTGACTTCCAGGTTATTGACGACCGCCTGCAGCAACTGGTGTACGCAAAGTCCAGTAACATCCATGAGTGTCAAAAGTCTTCAGTACACGGTCATTTGGTTAATTTCTTGTCTTCTATGCCAGTACCCAAGACCCTTGCTTCCCCTTCTCCGGACGATATTCTGTATGAAGCTCCTCGAGAAAAACGGTTTCGCATCGTTTAGCTTGCCCCGCCCTGGGACTAATCGACATAGCTCCTGTTCATGCCCCATTCGTCTGGCCGCCGGAAACGCCGATAGTGTTATAGGAAAGCTTAGATCTATAGTCAGATCCATATTGCAGTTGCCGTAAAAAGAATAGATATTTGAAGCGGTTATGTCCCTCGCACCACCACTAAATTAAAGCTGGGCAGGTGTCGGATAAACCTTTAATTGGTTCTTCAGTTTATTACCGTTTGAAGGATTCTTGCCTCGATGACATGGAAACCCTCACCGTTTTCGTGCCAATGTTCAGTTACTCTAGAACTTTCAGGATTCCCAAAGTCAGATGTTTCCAAGCACTTAGTTTGGCGCGCTGTTGGTATGGTCGACCATTGAACGAGTAGCGTGCTTGTTTGGACTCATCGCTTTAAGAACGAGTTATGTTACATGTGCAGCGTGGTTTCAGCATGCTTGTTTCGACTCATCGCTTTAAGAACGAGTTATGTTACATATTAGGCGTGATATTCTCGACTTAGGGCTTAAAGAAGGAGTTATGTTACAGATGCAGCGTGCTTGTTTTGGCTCATGGCACGACTAGCTAGACTTCCCGAAATTCCGTCGAATCGATATGTTTCCAGCAGATCCGATGGACTCCATCGGACGACTTTCCAACCTTCCTGAAAGTATTGTTTACACATCCGGTTTCATCTTATGACTAGACTTCCGGTAACTCAACTGGACTCGAATGTACTTCCCCGGTTTCATTTTTCGTCTAGTCTTCTTTGGAATCCAGGTTTTGTCCACTGGAATCTAGTTGAGAGTATTGGACATAAATGGATTTCTTCCGCGAATCGTTTAAGGCTCTCAGTGAACTGAAGAACTTCAAGCCAGATTTTCTGTGAGATTTTTTTTCTGTTTACATCTAGAGTCCTTAAGACTACATAATTCCTTGGCCTTGTCTGACAACTAAAAACACTCAAACAAAACCAGCACGCAGACGCCACTTTAGGTAACAGGGCTACAATGTTATGCGCATGCGTTGAGGCCTGTAGGAATAGTCCTGTGTAAAGTACCATGAAAGTCACAATAAGCCGACAAAAAAAATGAGTTTGTTGCCCTAATTTGCGTGTAACACCGATCTTGGGCCAAAAAAATTGGTTACATTATCAATAAATGAAAAATTTGTGCTATTTCTGCTAGCATTATGTTAGCAGAGCTTTTTTTCGGAAAATAGGTTAAAATTATGCTCATAAGGACGAATTATGCCAAAAATTATGCTAGCACAGTCTATCAAACCCTATAAATGGCTGGTAAGAAAATGAAATAAAACCGAGTAAGAGCCTATTAAGGGCATTCAAATATCAGAATACGGTATAATCAGTTTACATTTTTTCTGTGCAATATGGGAAGGCTAAGAATTTCTAGATGACCGTTCCATTCATGTATAATTTTCAAAGCTTATCTAATAAATTCCCTACGATTTTCTGTGGTTTAATTTTTTGCATTTCACTCCCCGTATTAAGCTATTTTTCACAGAAAAAGGAAACCTAAAATTTTCGGATTCGAAGATGCGATGGAAAGAGGAATCAGAAAAATCCTCACCTTCGTAAAACTTTAAATTGCATCAAAAATTTTCGGGAAAATAATACTGAAGCCCTGTTAATTTCGAAAAGTTTCAAGTAGCCCTAGGATGACTCAACAGATATAAATTTTATAGCGCCGATAAGAATGTATTTCTAAAGATCTAAAAGTACTTTGGATAGCCTAAAAAGTGTTTTCAAGGCATTTAGGAGGGAACCGTCTTTGGGTGCTCCCCATAGCATCTTGTTCCAGAGCTTTTTAGAAGCCTAAAATTGCCGAGGAAGAGAAGAAGTTAACTGAAAATGGTACCCCAAAGTCAACTATTGCACTGAAAACGTATTCTTTGAAAAAAATTTGCTGGAATGGCCGAATGGTAGGTAAACAAAAATGCAGTACTCGAGCCTTACACATTCACAACTGGCAAGTCTTGAGTGCAACGCTTCGACACTGCTATAGCCAATATTACCGCTGTGTCACTGAACTTTTGGCTGATTAAATTGGCGAAAGAACAAAGTTTAATTTTTTGCAATAGTAAATTTACTGCTTGTGTTGTTTTGAAAGAACATTAAATATTCACTCACCATTTGTTGTGTCAGTTTCTGTGCTGATAATTAATATTCATAGGTCTCGAGCAATGAAATAAAATGTCATCCTTATTAGTATTTTGTATGTAAAGAATACTAATGAGGATGAGATTTTTAAAGTCTGACAGTGTTTTACCGGGGTTTAAAACACGTGCACGTGACGGATTTTAGCGGACTTAACTGGTTGTTGAGCTCAATGAGTTTTGGAAGTGAAGTTATAAATTGCTTCTCGCTCAAGTAATTGGATTTATTTAAGTCTTTCGTGACAAGCATAGAATTAGTGATATTAGGCCTCTGCTTTTTTTTACTTTCTCTTATTTAGTCGCTCAATCATTGGTCTTGTGCCCATTTTCCATTAGGCTAGATAAATACAGAGGAACGGAGTCGCCTTTAAAAAAGGCTGCCTTTATCGTAAAGTAAACACATTATGACCAGCTGGTGCAAACATTCGATCAGAGTGCAAATAGTGTAAAGTGTGACAGTTTTTAGAGCCACATTAACTTTTGATCATATCACCATATTTTATCAAACTTTCAGGTTTTTAATCTTCATTGTTTTGACATAAATGTGGAATGAGCTAACTTTTACTCTTCTTAATCTCTAGTGACTAATTTTGATCTATATTTTTATATTTTGAGTTATATGTTTGTGGATTTGTTGGGTTATTAATATTTTCCTGCAATTAGATATTACCTCTTTGAGTTATTTTCTTTATTTTACACACTAACCACAAACGTTTGAGGCATGTTAGAATCCTGCAGATTATTCAGTGATCTGTTTGAGCATTACATGTATTCTCATAACTACATAGGGACTGCTGTTTTAAAATCTGTCCTTGATTTTTCATTTCCAAATCATTTCTTCCCTTATTTGCATTTTCTCTAGAAAGACAGCAAAATAATCTTTTAAATCCCTGTCTATAATTTCGGCTTTGTGCGGCGTAGAGAAGAGGATTTACGAAAGAGTTAAGAATGAGGAGAAAACGAACTGTTTTGTGGATCAGGTGAAGTGTGTCAAAGTTTTCGATTATCGTAACCTGTGAAACAAAACTAACATACAAGAAAAATACAGCGAATGGCATGCAGCAGATTACAAAGGCAGCTACGAGAGATGCAAGCAATTTAAGAAGGTGTTTTCTGGATTTCTTCTCCTCCACATCGCCTGTGCGTTCTCGATATATATCCCCCAAGAAGTAAACTCCGTAGAAAATACGTAAATAACAAATTAATATAACCACAGCGGGAACTATCATAAATACCAAACAGAACACGCTTATGTAGGCCTTTTTTAAACCCTCCAGATTATTGAGAGTCCAAGGTCGATTACATGGATATTTTTCAGCTCTTTCGTCATAATTGTTGGATAATATTCCTGGTATACAGACAAGTGTAGCTAGCGTCCATGTCGCTGCAATGGCGAAACTAACGTTTTCTTTCCTGAGTTTAGAGTTTGTTTGAAACGGTTTGACTAGTGCAACGTATCTTTCAACAGCAACAACAACCAACATAAAGATGGACTCTAGTATAGTTATAGAGAGAACCGCATTTCCTACGAAAATCTTGCAAACAAAGTCTCCGATAGGTTGACTTAAACTGACGCTCTTTAAAGCAAAGTCATAAAATCCAGGGCAAAATAGTAAACTTATCAGATCTGCCACCGCCAAGTTCGTCAGTAAAAAGTTTGTTGTCGTGTGCATTGATGGCGTTTTACGCACGATGGTGATTATGATAACGTTTCCCAAAACACCAAAGAATACAATGAAAGAGTACAATGAGGCAAACACTATGTCTACGGTAGTAATGAAATTAGTGTTGTTACTCATAATTCTGTTGCCATTCCTTTGAATCTTCTGCCAGGGTCACCAAGACAGCTTCATTATTAATCAAGGTCATATGGAACCTGAATATTGAGGCAAAATTCGTAATAACGGAGCTCCACGCGCGCGAGAGAAGCCCCATAGCTAAGTAAATCTACCCATCCCTGAAAATTTGGTAATCACGTTACCGTACGCTTACCGTATCGTGGGCTCAGGTGTCGACCCATCGAGGTCGAGTATTTTTTGAAGTTACCCGCTGACAAGTTACTAGTTTTCAAATGATCGAAGGCTCAAGTTTCATTTTTTTGAAATTCATATGAAATATGTGGTGTTTAGCTATTGTTTTATTTATTTTATTTTATTAGCTTTGCCCTGATGAACACAAAAAAAACTGAAGATATGCAAATACTAGTAATAAGAACGTAGCAATATAATACACTAATAATAACTTAACTAATTTGGGCAGGGAAAGCGCAACAGCAAAGACCAATTACTGCGGACCCAACCGCACACAGGTACAGGCAGGGAAGACAGTTGCTTTTGACTTTTCTCACCATGGTCACGCGTTGGTCACGCTCTACGTACAATTTTTATGCTCTGATTGGTTAAAATTTGACAGATGAGTTCACGCGGAAAATTTATGCAGCATCTTGAAACTTGTTTACTTTGACAGCTGAAGCTGACAGAGTTTTGTGTCAACTTGTGATGCTTTTAACTGTCTTTTTCTACTGGATGTACAAAATGAAATTCAGCTGCTATCAATAGTCTTCTGTTATTCATGGCTAGTTTGTTTATTGGGTTTTTGGTCGCGAAATACGTCGCTCGTCAAAGTTGGAAATCTGATTTCGGATGGCATCGTTTTGGTTTTTTACCTTGCTTGACGCGAAAGAAGGTTGAAAACTCTGAAGCGATTACGGCCTTACTTGATAGCTTCCAGGAGATGCATCTTGAATGGTAAACCTGAGTAATTACTGCATTTGATGTTTGTTTGTTTTTTTTTTTTTACATCTAATTTAACAATGTCGAGCGTAGTTTATGCGGCTATTTAGTTTATAGACGTTTGTAAGATTTGAGACAATGATCTGACCGGGTATCAGGTTCGATATAAGCTTACAGCACTTTAAAAGGCCTTTAGACATTTTCTCACCGCAAATAGAAAGAAAACGTTCCAATGAATATTTAGTTATAATTCTGGCTGTAAAAGAAAGCTTTGAGCGATTTTCTTGCCTCGAGTTCATCTTGGAAGAAAGCAAACACCGTGAAGCCGGCTTAAAACATATACTTAAGCTTTAAGCTTGAAGCCTCAGGATTTTTAGAGACACTTTAATTCTTGTCTTCGTGAATGAAAATTGTTGTCTCTGGATATGTTTCACCGAATTATATTTCTTTTATTGATTGTCAGTAGTCTCTCTTGCAATTTTAATCGCTGTGCCGTTTGTTTTCAGTTGCTCATGAACATCACTTGCAGGAGTACTCAAAATGCCGCTCGTATCAAACGCTTTTGAAGATTAGACATCGCTATAAAACCACTAAATAGAAAATAAACATGATAAATTCTTTATTATGTTGAAGCGTAACTCTATTAACGTTCATTCAAACACTCACAACCGATTGGCCGTATAGGTGATTTTGAAAAATTTTTAGCGGTTTCGCCAAAAGCCCAAGCGTGCTTCGATCGTCCTGAATATTGAATGAGTGCAATTTGTATTTCAAAATTGTGAAATACTGCATTCTGTCCGAGGTCTGTGTGGTAAAAACAGCGCCTCGTAGTACTGTTTTATCTCGGATGGGATGTATGAAAAATGTAAAAGGTGGGTTGACACGCCCCCAAATTTGTTCGCAAGATTTTGTAAAGCAAACTTATCGAACGCAAAAATTCGGCCTGATTTGTTTTCCAAGAATTAGTGTTTTTCAGGTCCAATCTACTGTGATCAAGAGCCATAATGGCTCTTAAATGTGATCGACGATGATTGCTATTTTAAGGCTATCAACTCGATGTAAGGTTTGGCTCTCTCTTGGACTGTTTGCAAATTAGTTTTCTCTGAAACCACTAAATAGCCTCTCCATCCCTCAAAAGTCACATGAATTTGCTCTAAAGTTAACTGATTGTGGAATACAATTTTATTGTATTAATAAATTACAAATTTATTAATGGGAGCTTTGCTTTTAGCCCTGGCGAAATCTATATATTATTGTCTACTTAAAATAAGTATTCGTCAAGCTGGATTAACTAGGAACGCGTGGGTTGAATGAAAGGATCTTAAAGCATTGAAAACAATCGAATTACCGAACATATGTGTGCTATTCAGCTGTCATCTAAACACAGGCGTTTTGAGGTAGTGACATTAACGACATTTAAAAGTATAATCACGACAGATAAGGGTTTTTAGTAGAACAATACTGTTTTCAGTGTACCAAAAGCTATTTAAAATTCACAAACTATCTTTTTAACTGAGAAGCGTTGTGTGAGCAACAACTAGGATAGACTGCATTTTTTAAAACTGCGGCCTAAATATCATCATTAGTCGGCCATTCCGGTCAGTCATTCAGTGCCGAGTGAGTCAGTTCATCCATTATTCTACGAGACTGTCAATCAATCATTTCTTTAGTTAAAGTCTTAAGCCAGGAACATTTTGCTCATGAGTCTATATTTGTTTCCCCAAGATTGACGCCATATCTAGTTATTTTATTTTAGATATAATTAAGGGTATAAGAAAGTAATAGACCTTTTTGCTTGCATATAATTTCAAACTTTCAGAGACGTAATGTTTTGAAGGGTATTCGCCTTTTATCGTTAGACAGGTACAGATGGTTGCGGCGACATTTGAAGCTGAACAGTTCTCTGCATGGGGTGACATCACATGCTCTGAAACAGGATAACAAAACATGTATACTGAAAAGGTCTATTCCACCATTCAAATCTGATTGAGAAATGCATGAGCCCAGACAATTACCTGATTTAGATATTTTCAAACTTGACAAAAAAAAAACTGCTTTGACGGTTCTGAAGAATTTTAAAACGTGCCCACGGAGTTTTACATTTTTGCTGTTCTTGCTTTACGTCTTTTAACCCCTTTCATACCTGGGTGGGGTTTTCCAGTACCCCTCACGGAAAAGTTGAATACCTTCAAAACAGTTTAAGCTATGACCACCAAACTTAGCGAATTTTTCCAAAATTTATCTGGGAACATTTTAAAGTCACCGAGAGGTGTATGCCAACATTAACGTTACTGTGGCAACCTAGTTTTGACCACCATGTTTTTCAAAATTTGCATTTTTTATAAAAATAGGTGTTATCCTTTATCTTTATTGATAAAATTATTATATTACACTTAATTCAGCATTGTCTTATCAAAAATATTATAACTGTTGAAGAAATCCAGGCTTTTTAGTGACTAGTTTGATCATTTCTCTGGGAATTTCATATTTTGCAGAGGTATTTCGCTCTCTGAGCATCCGTTTATGCTCGTATCAAATTTTCTTTTAAAAATTCCTCGATTTACTGGGGTTTTAAGTAGACTGGAATACACTTGGCGAATCCAAGATAGCGTATTCTTGCAGTTTTATTTAAAAATGAATGACTTTATCATCACAGCTATCGCTAAAGATTATTTATATGTTAGGCAACTTCTTGATTTTATCAAACACCTTTTTATCAAATTTAGATTCTGCCATATAAATTAAATAATATGAAGTCATAATGACGTCATATTACGTCATTGTGTCAATCAAGTTATGTCCAGAAATTGAAGGATCTCCGGAGAGCCCCTTCCCCTACCCCCTGATTGCAGGAAGCAAACAAAAACTTGGTCTAAATAGGTTCATATAGCGTGTCGGGCTTATTAAAAACGAGCAAACGGGAAAGATTGCGATGCTTTTTCGAAGGCATTCCCGCAACAGGTTCCCGTGTTCTAGTTAAAATGCCAAGAAAATTGTTCGTACATTCTTATTTAGTTTTTTGTTTGTTTGGACCCTCTGCCCTATTGTTTACACACGCTTTTTGCTTGAATTTTTGAAGATCATTTGTAGTGCAAGTCTTGAAAGTGGTTGATTTCGAGGCATTTGCATTTAACATTGATTTCGTTTCTAATCAGTAAATCTCTACCGTTTCAATTCTTCGTCCATCGAGGTCAAGTCATACAACAGTTTAAGTGTCTTTGCTTCCTTACTTCTATTTCCTGAGTTCTTTAATTTACTGTTGTTGTTGTTGTTGTACGTCTGTCATTTGTATTTCTGTGCAACTTGTTATTTTGTTATGTTTTTTTTTTTAAGCAGACGCGATTGCAATCGTATCATTTATGAGAAAGTGACGCGTTGAAACCGGTGACGAGCTTTTGCAAATTGGCTGTAATAGGCGCAAATACATTTGAAAAGAATTGTGAATCTGCAGTACAAAGTTGACCAATCTTGGTTCAATTTACTTCAGGACATCACTATCACTACAAGCAGAAATAAATTTTTGGCTAAAAATGTTTAAAAAATGGATACTTTCGACCAGCTGAACTACGGCCTACAACCGAAACGGGCGAAATGATTTCGCCTGTTGAAAACCGTAGACCGTGACGTAGTTCAGGCGGTCGAAATCTTATTATTATTATTATTATTATTATTACTATTAATGCTATTATTATTATCATTATCAATAATTATTATGATCACTATTATTATCTAAATCAAATAATAATCAAACTTGACAAAGAAGATCACTTACAAGCAAAATTCTTCGACCTCTAGGACTATGAGATACATAACAATCAAGACTTAAACTTTTCTCAACTTTGAAATGTTAACAAGATAATACTAATTTGCGTAAGAGAGATAAAAAAAAAACTAATTGCATTCGGATTGCAGGAGAAAACAAGAATAAAAATCTTACAGCCTTTTAATTAAATTTAAAAATTCGCTTGAACCCATCTCGAAAATTAGAGCTTTGTAATGCGTAAAGCAAGGGATTACAAAACGAATTTGAGAAAAGAAGAAAACGAGCCAGTCTATGAATTATATACAGTTTTTCATAGTTATCTTGAACAAAATTTGCACCAAGAAAAGTCAAGAACATGAAGTAGATGGAAAACGGCAGTGTACAAACAATGAATATTATAGTTAGTCGTATAAGAAGGGAGGCCAGTTGCTTCTTTGCTTTCCTTTCTGCTTCCGTGCCAACAGACTCCGAGCAGATGGTTTTGGTAAAATACAAGCCACGGATTATTTCAAAATAGCAAGCTAATAGTACAAGGGAGCTGACAAAACCAAAACAAACACACGTGAAAATAATGAAAGGCTTGTGAAGGGAGTACTCATCCAAACTCCAGGGGCGTTTGCATGGATATTTGTTGGACTGAATGTCAAACGTGTTGGCTTGGATATCTGGTACGCAGGATAACAAAGCAATGAGCCAAAGCAGAGCTATAACATATCCAACGGTGTCTTTAGTTAATCTTAAATTACGAAAAGGCTTTACCAGAGCCAGATATCTTTCCACTGCAATCGTACAAACTGTCAGAACAGCTACGTTAATGGTAACTGGAACTACAGCATTTCCAGCAAACAACTTGCAGATCACATGTCCTGAGAGGCCTTGAATACGGACGTTTGTCAAAGCAAAATCATAAAGCCCAGGGCAGAGCAACAAAGTTAGCAAATCTGCCAAAGCTAAGTTCATCAACAGATAATTTGTTGTTGTGTGCATTGACGGCATTTTGCGCACGATTGTAATTACGACCACGTTTCCTATGACTCCGAGAAGAACTATGACACAGTATAATGTGGTGAAAGCAAGATCTTGAGCTGAGGTCATCTTGTGTTGTTAATGCAGATTTCCTTGGTGCTATCATTTATTTCATTTTCAAGCATGGTTTCCACTAGCCAATTGAATTACTAGTGTCACTCGAGCTATTTATCAGCAGCCGATATCAGCTGGTTTTTCCGCACTATAAGGAGCTTGAAAACCAAATAATTTTCACCTTTTACTTAGTCAAGTGTATTCTTTTCATCTCAATAATAAACATAGTCGTCTTGATAATCTGAAGCCGCAAATTCAAGCTAATGGTAATTACTCAGGAGATCAAAACCTTTAATGGCAGGTCGTCAATCAGTCGCTGCATAGGCGAGTGTTAAAATCGCGCGTTGATAAATAGTCATGCAGTAAGATGTTCGCTAATTTGCGGCTTAAATTGCAAATGTATAAATGCAATATATGTGCCGGTGTTAATTCATCTAATGGAAATAAGAAAATATAGAAAGACATAAAATTGGGTATCCAACCATGTTTTTTTTTTCGACTACAAATAACAGCCCTCAATGAATTATTGTCCCGTTCAAGAGCTCGAAAAATCTCTCAGGTTTCTTGACGGCTTTATGACGTTATGGTTGATCAGTTGTCATAGCCTATGCTTAGGAAATCCAAATGGAAGCAAAGAGGCTTTTACAAATAAGTACATGTATAGCCGGGTCATTATATCAGTGACAAATGTGAAGATCACATTGACCTTCTTGTTTTTGTGTAAGGAGGTCGACAGAAAGAGAACGACTCAGTAATTCAAAAATGTTTTTTTAATTACAATTATATAAAGAAAAGCATTTTTGTGAAGATTGAACTCCCTTACTAAAGACAGTTTCCAAAGTGAAGATACCGGAAATGCGATGTGCGGTAATTTACCATAATTCGTTCTATTCATTTCAGAAGCTACATCCAAAACTAACAATACTCAGAAAAGTTTAAAAATTGCATTTACATGCAGACCCTTAATAAAACTTGGCTGCGCGTGGTTTTTTCAGCTACATTCTAGGTAAAGTCTGGTTATCATACGAAACATTACTTCACATTCGAATAATTGGTTATTAGGCATGAATGGTGTATTCAATTTTATGAATGAAACAGTTGTACAAATTATTCAATGCCTTTCCCTACTGAGAAACACGAAATTAGGTGATAAAGCTTTCATTGTATGTGTTTGCTTAAACCTTGATAGGTGTCAATAGGACCATTTCAACGAGGCAAAATAAAAAGCCGCTTGACATGGAAAGCGACTGAGCTTATAAAAAGCGCCTTGATAATCTAATAAAAGGTGTTAACAGCTGCTCTTACATAAGACGCATCTTAGCTGAAAAAACGACTCGTACAAATGACCTTCGTGTCTGTTATATGATGAGAACACATAGTACGCATCACTGGCACATCCATACCCTGAGATAAAGGGGAGGGGGAGGTCTCCAAAAATAAGTTTTTTCGGCCCCTCGGACCTCAGTTTGGTCTAAAAATAAGGGGGGTTGGACCCCTCCCCTGGATCTGCCAAAGCGCATTCAGGGCTGTCAAAAAGTTTTTAAATAGCAGGCTGATAATGAATAGTAGGCGGCTTTGGAACTCGCACCAAAGGCACAAGTTCTTGAGGGCTGAGGCATCTAGCGACATTTTGAAAAATAGAGTCTCAGAAATGGTGTTTCCAGAGGTATTATGCACCGCGGACGTCAGGTTGTCTCGACACAAGACTGGGAACAATGCCGTCGAAATGTGCCATGCGTTCTAAGACATCGCCCAGTTTGAACGTTTTACAGATCTAAACCTGTTAGAATATGCGTTCAACGTCATTCAAAACTGGGAAACGGATTCCTTACAATTTTATTCGATGGTGCTTACTTTTTGTTAGCAGTCATGGTAGAAGGAGATCAAGGTAGCCGGCTAAAGAGGGCTAACTAGCCGGAGGTTTTGGTTGGCTACCATTCTCGTCCCCAGAGCCCGACAGCCCTGCGCATGCGCTATTCTTAGATTAAGCAGGCATAATTTTCTCGCGTCCGTCCGGAGACCTACAAGAAGAAAATATTTAAGTTATTCCAAGTTGGATGTAGAGACTATTTTGCTTTCTGGCCTCTGTCTGTTTTTCTATGGCATTTTATTTGTTTTTATTCTTGATAAGTCCCACTCAATCCGGAGTCTGTGGATGTTCCTCACACGATCTTACTCGGCGTCTCTCTGGAATGTTTCCAATTCACAAAAACTTAACGCCGTCGTAGCTTTGAAACAAGCGGCATGTCAGGGTGTCGCTGCTACTGGCAAAACAGAGGTATTGTTTTGGGGAAACGCTTAAAAAATCCACGACGAAGAGTGACGTATCTCTCGCCACCAACAGACACAGTACGGTTGAAAAAGCCGTGATAAAGCTCTCATTAGAAGTTCACCTTACACATGATCAAGATTTTTGGGAAACTTAAATTGACTGATATGAAAAAATAAAGCTAAATTTACAATTTCGAATCTCTATCGTTGCCTGTACTAGCGCCTGTGCAGAGCATTTCGCGCATGCTTATTACGTTTTTCTGCTCTCAACGTAAGTAGGCAGTAGGAAAAATGCTAAATGTCAAGATTGTTGCACTACAATGTTGACTTTTTTCCATATGAATTATCAGTTGTCTACTTAAAATCGCTCTCATGTAATCAGACCCAAGCGCTGCCTTGAACTAAATGATTGAAAAGCATGGAAACCGTACCAGAACGTCCCTGGTCTAATCAAGCTCAGAACATAGTTATTTTATCCACATTATTCCTCGTCATCTTCATAGACGCCGCAGCATATTCATTGTATGCACCATTTTTCCCAAGCGAGGTGAGATGTTCTTCAATTCTTTGCATTGAAGGCATTATTTACAATATTTTCAATGTCTCACTGTATTTTCGAAATGAATTTTTGAATGTAGTGCCTTTATAGAATAAGTTATACCTAGTAGTGCCCACTGATCACGGATCTGAAAATGCAAATTTTCTCTTAATTAAATGCTTGTCTTTGTGTATACCTAACTGAACTGATTAATTTAAGCCTAAAACCAGAGCTTATTTTATTACAGTCATTATCCGTAGAGCATGGTGTAGTTCCAGAAAATATCCATGCCCCACCCCCCCTCCCAACAAAGGGCACTTTTGTTTTAGACCCCTACCCTCCTGGACCGAGTTGTTCAAAGCTGGGTTAAGATAACCCAGTGTTAGTGCGAGATTTGAATTCAGGTTTAAATCTTAAAAAGCATTTCAGTTTTAATTCTTTTTGTTTGCAAGTCGATGATTGAAAGCTCTACATGTAACAGAGAAAATTATCCGAGAAAATGCTTTTGAACACAAGAAAGAGAAACCCGGGTTAAGCGCTAATCGGCCTTTGAACAACTAGGCCCTGAGGAAGTGCTTGTCATACCCCTCTTTCCCCAGGAATTTCCGTGATTTTTCAATTTTGGCTGGGTACCCTTGGAAAGGATATATTTCCGTCAAAAGTGTTGTTGCACTGTACTATTATGCGAAATGTGATTGCTTTTGCGATATAGTGAGAAAAAAAATTTATTCATTTTAATACATGGTCTAGTAAACTCAATTATTCCTTGTAGAGGTCTTTCCTAGCTAATGATTAACGGTAGGCCACTGCCGGAGGATCATGGAGGCGAATACCTTCTTATACTACAACACTACCAACACTACACGAGAGATGCCAACTGTAAAAGAATCAGTTATACATTCAAACTAAACTCCAAGTGAACTTCTTTCAGTTAAAACATGATATAAAAGAAGGCTTAGAACAGCACCACATCACGGTGAATGTCATAATTGTAATACCATAATAAGCAACAGATAGATAGGCGGAAGTTTATTCTTGAGCCGATGACAACTGTATTTTAATACAAAGATCAAAGATCATCAATGAAAACAACAATTCTTGTTTTGAAACACTGGAAAAAGATTTGGAAAGGCCACTCCCATTCCCCTCGGAATTCGCCTCCTTTGGACCCCCCTCCCCTGAGAACTTCCTTTGCCCTCCGTGGGGAGAGTATGGATATTTTCTGGAACTGCAAATTCCATAAAAAAATTGCAGTTTTGCTGTAACTAATTCCATTGGGTTATAGGTTAGTTTACAAGTTAATACAAGCATAAGTATAAGTAGCGGGTGGAGGCGCGCTCTTCGATCTTCCTAGATAAATCCTCTCCTCGCAGGGTAAAGCATAAGTAAACAGAGTACGAAAATTTATTCATAACTTTACTATACAGTAATTACTTCCGTCTCATATTAAAAGCTTAGATAAGTCGTTTCCACAAGTGTAATTAAAAGGGACTGAAATTTGCGAGTCAATCGATAATTCCCTGCAAGCATAAGCAGAAGAATAAACCATCCAAGTTACAAATCATAAAAAACTCTAGATAACCGCGCTTTTTTGTTCAATCAGTTCTGCCGCTAAACTTTGGAATGATTTACCGCCGCCACACATAAGATTGGCCCCTTCTGTCCTAAGAGCAGTGTAGTTTTCATTTGCCATTTTATTGCACCTTTGTTTTAAACATCCATGCCACACTCATGGGCATTTATCTCTCTTTACTTCAAATCCAGCCTTTGATCATGATTTAATTCTGGTGGAAAAAGCAGTGTAATTATTATGTTACTTTTTAGGCCTTATAATCACAGACCTTACTGGTAAGCCTTCTCGCCCGAACTTCTTCTTCTTCTTCTTTGCATAACAATAATGTAATATTTTTTTCTTTTTATTTAAAATCTTTATTTTTTTTATTAGGCGGAAGATAAGGGAGTATCCACCACTGTTGTAGGATTAATCTTTGGAACTTATCCATTGGGAATGTTTATCTTTTCTTTAGCATGCGGATTTCTTGTAAGTGGTTTCCGACATTAATTTACGGTACAATAAATGACAGGTCAATTATAAATTACTTTACCTGTTGGCTCTATTTAAATTGCTTCCTAAGCAACTTTAATACACAGATCACATTTTCTATCACGATTACCTCGATTTACACGGGTTTTAATTAAAATAGAATGCGTTCAATTGATAATCAAAAATAGTAGATCCAAGATGTCGGATGGTTCCATTTCCTTATTCAATAATATATGACGTCATCACAACATCACTTCCACTGTTAAAGTTCATAATGTGTTAGCCAACTTTATGATTTCATCAATCAAGTTTTCACTAGTTGTTGGAAATGATGAGTACATTTATATTATTCTGCGTAATTTCTGTGGCTGCATAATGAGCGGTTGTTAAGTTATAGCGTAGGGGCCTTCGGACCCTCGGATTCAGAAAACGTCTGGTCTGAATACGGGAAATAATGACAGAGATATTTAAGCACAAACACTTTAATTTTTTTACTAAATGAATTTTAAACTCAATCTTTCAGATAACAAAGTTTGGTGCTTTCTCCGTGCTTTTATCAGGATGTCTTGTTTGCGGAGGGTCCCTTATTATGTTTGGGTAGGCTTTCTTTCTTTCTTTGCGGATTCAAAAATATGTAACCTCAGATCAGGCTCTGTTTTCTCTTCGGTTCGTAAATTAAAAAAAAAAAACATTACGACGGGCAAGGCGAAACGAAAAGAGAAAAGAGAGCCTGATACAACCCTTTTACGAAACGTCTGCTGCCCACTTTTTTTTGATTGATTGACATTTGCCGAATCAGCCAACCAAAATTACTTCCGTTGCATGCTTTATTAGTATGCAAATTTATCATACGCGGGATAAATGCAGACTCGCTGACTTAAAAAATAGCTTTTATCTTTTTTTGTCTTTTTTTCGCAACTAACAATAAAACAGTCATCCAATCACATTTAACTTCTTGCGAGAATAAAGGAGATCCTGAAGGTTATTTCTGCTGCCATAGAAGGTAAAACGTTTTCGAAAAGACGGCGAGACGATGTTCTAGTTTAAATATTTTGGCTGGGAGCACTCGATTTTTAAAATACTGAAATTTCTTTTTCTCTTTTCTGTTGCCTTGATATTTTCCGCGGCAATTTCCCCCGATGTTCAGTGCATAAATCTTTAAAACTCTTGGAGAGATATATCGCAAACTTTTTCAAAGGATATATAAATTATCTCAGAACAAACCAAACGAGTTCTCAAGTGCATTTAATTTAGTCCACTCGAAATTTGTGAACTTACTAGACAAACAAACGTCTAAAAAAGTATTTTTTCATAAATGTAGGTAAATATTATCACCCGCTTTGGAAAGACGAAACGACGCTAATAAAACTGCATGCTCAACTGACCTAAAACGAAAATAAAAGCAGTATTGCTTATTAAGTGCAAACTCATTTTGTAGTTCTCCTTAGTGTTGTGTCGTTGTTTTACTGCAGGTGCGAAAAGCTCGCTAAATTTATTAATCGAAAACAGCCAACGAGCTCGGACAACAGTTTTCCTGGTTTATTTTTACAAAAAGCGAAGGCAAACAACAAGTCTGTTACCTTAACCGCACTAGCAGCTTTTATAATAATGCCTACAAAAATTCCCGTGAACAGCGATGCGATATTTTTCGTCCATTTTAATAAACGAAAAATATCATCACAGCTAGCGATTGAGGTTTCTTTCGCTTATTTCTTTTCATAGCTGAATGATGTAGTTCCCTCCAAAGTTTCGTAAAATTAAAACAGTTATGACAAAAAGTCCACCATAGCTTAATGCGTTTTTTGGATAATGGAGCCACATTAAGCAACGAGAAAAAGCATTCATATTTATAAAGCTTTCTCTGTTTTAACATACCGAGTAAAGAAATCCGGTGACTGCCTATAATAGCGTAACGTTCAAAAGAAACCAGTTTTAAGATGGACAGTATTTTGACTTGCACTTGTTTGTTGGTAAATCAAAAGGCGTCTTGTTCGCTGTCAACAAACCTGCAGAGGGATTCAACTCCCCGATCGAAACTCACATTAGTTTTGTAAATGAAGCAAATTCTGAAAAGATATGGACAAACATTTGAATTTTCTGAATTTGCATGACACATATTAAGGCATATTTTCCTACCACAAGACCGTAAAACAATAAAAAAGATAGCAAAATCCTTTTCTTTGCTGACGGCGGATCATTAAACTTCCGTTTATTTCAACAGCCAATCAGATCCTGTGGCATTGTTCTGACAGCGAATCAGCGTTGCGGCCAAAATCTGGCCGCAGTGAGCACAAACTTCTAAGACTTTGGATCAGGCCCAACTTTAGCGGGAGCACGTAAGAGACAATGTATGAGACTGCTTAAATTGGGCCTGATCTCAGGTTAAAAATATCCGGATAAATGTGGACCGAGGCCTAAACGAGGCATTTGCGCCCACGCGAGAACAACAGCAACAACAAACAAAAAGTCAAAAACAACAACAACAACAACAACAAAAAAACACCATTAACCTTAAGGCTATCAACAAAGAAAACAATAAGCCAACCAGCAGGTTTTTTTTATCTCGGCAAGACTACAGACCATCGGCAATCTACAGGCCAAATACAGGGCACAGCCTTCATGGTACAGTCCTCAACCTTAAACCGTTTACAGTTTGTAAGAATAAAAGCTGTGAGTACAATTGAAAATGACGCGTGACATCTCTTCTACAATGATACACGGATACGACTACGGATAAACGTATATGCAACTAATGGCACTTCTATCGGAAAAGCAATTAGGAGATGGCAAGAAAATGAAAGGGTTGTAATTATTATGGGCAAAGATTTACATGTATGCTCCAGGCCGTACTTTATAGTTACTTTAAATGGTGGCGGCACTTTGAAAAGAACTAAAAAAAACGATTCATGCAAATTTTATGTCGGCTTAAACCTTATTCCTTTCGCTTCAGTAGTTTAAGAACAACTTGTTGTAACAGCCCGGAAGGTTTCCTTGAAGGCATTGCATCACAATTTCGGATTAACGAAACCCGCGTCATATATGAATACGTTTACGTTTCATAGTGAACTGTACTTTTATAGATGGAAAAAAAGCACTTCATTTTGAAACGTTCGTTACAGTAACCATCTAATTTGTCTTATTTTGTTTCAGACTTTGTGGCTTCATTTCCGATACGGCTATGTTCGTAGCTTTCTGTTTTCTGCTGAGAGCGACTCTTGCAATAGGAGGGTCAGCATCAGAAGTCGCAGCCTTATCCATACTCATAGGGAAATTTCCCAACAATGTTGGAGCAGTCACAGTACGTTATTTGTGTTATGATAGCGGAACAATTAGTTCATTTGGTAAAGCACTGGTCTAAATAACGTGAGGTCGAGTGCTTTGTCTCAAAATAATTCAGGACAAAGATGCTGCCTGGCGCCTGCAAAACCTTTGCCTGTCTTGGATGACAAATCCGGCAGAGCTCGGCAGGGAATAAAGCCAATGTCCTAGATAGTAATACACGCTATAAACATGGGAATAAGAGAGCATTTTTGCCCCAAGCATTTACTAAGTAAAACATGCAAAAGAAAAGTGAACACTGATTGGCTCTTCTGACTGCCTCCGCCTACTTTGATTGCATGGCAAGAGTGACTCAGATTTTGAGTTTCCGACTTATGTTGTCAAATGCAGAAGTACTGGAGAACCAAAAAAAGGTTGAATGTTCATGTTAATAAAGACTTGTTCAATTCCCTTTATGCTGAGGATATCCTTTTGTTTCTAAAACTGGAGTTAATAAGCTCCATTTTCACCGGCGTGAAAAAAGAAGGAACTATAAAGAGGAAATGCTCGAATCATTAGCTTTTTCGTTCCCTTTTTATTCAGTGTTTTTACAGTGATAAAATTGACTTTTCAATCACATTTTTGGTTTTCTCTCTACCCAACGAAGCGACACCTTTTAATCAATTAAAATTGACTTGACACAAACCTCTTTATTCCTAATAACCTCTACTATTTTCTTTTGTTTTCGCTTTCTTAGGGAGCCAGAGCGACATCTTATGGAGTTGGGCTTTCCCTTGGTCCAGCTTTAGGAGGATTTCTTTACTCGGTATGTTAAAACAGAGAAAGCTTTATAAATATGAATGCTTTTTCTCGTTGCTTAATGTGGCTCCATTATCCAAAAAACGCATTAAGCTATGGTGGACTTTTTGTCATAACTGTTTTAATTTTACGAAACTTTGGAGGGAACTACATCATTCAGCTATGAAAAGAAATAAGCGGATTTTACTGATGTTAAATAATTTTTTACGAAATTAGCGGTTAAGTGGATCCATCGCGTCTAGTAAAAAATGTTGCTGATATTTTTGACTGAAATTTCTGGTATGGGCTTTTATTGATATAATAACTGATGCCATATTAATTTCAGAGGAATCGTTGGAGCAGAAGTCCGTAACTAGAAAATCGTTTGAAATTCAGCCATGAAATTGAACGAGCCACCAATTCGAATTTTCTAATGTTTTCTAATTCTTGAAACGATTATCAATCGTGCCATTATTTAAGAGGTACTTAGTAGGATTCCGGATTCCTTGAGCTGTATTCCGGATTCCAAAGCCCAGGGTTCCGGATTGCACAAGCAAAATTTTCCCGGATTCCACAGGCAAAAATCTCCCGGATTTCGGAATCCGTATTTGGCCTTACATGGGGGGACGGGTGAGTAAACTTTTCATGGCTAATATTTACGCTGTCTACATCGCAGTAAAACTGGTGGTGTTCAGATAAGGGTTGATAATATGTAATATTTTCAAAGAAACTGGTTTGTATTTTTACGTGAAGATACTTAAAGAAGTCAGGTTGTCAGAAAATTTATTAATTCTTCTCGAAATTCAATCTGTCTGGAATAACGGAGGCCAGGAACATTCACTAAGTACTGATGACAGGTGCCCAGTGTCCGGCCAGTTTTTGTTTTCCTGTGCAATGAATTAGCTGTGTACATTATCCGGGCAAGATTTATGTCATATCTATAACAATAATTAAAGCTTAGGTTATATAATGTAATTCTACTCAACTCCTTATGGAAATTTTCTTGACTCATTCAGAGGCGAATTGATTTCCTATGCACGGCTTGTTTCGCGTGACTGCAGTGCGTTAATTTTTTCATATATAACTGGAAGCGCGAAGTTGAAACGGGGATTCTCACACAAATGGCAGGGGCGGCAGGGGCGTAGTCAGCAGCCTATAGACCTGTAGGGCCGAGCCTACAAATATTTCGTTTGATTGCTCTACCGCTTGTTATAAATTATGCATTCTTGGGGTGAGCTAAAAGCTTAAATAGCAGTCATAACTGTTATCTACGTAATAAATCATATTAACTAAAAGAGCCATTAGCATTGTATTTATTTTTAAAACTTGTTATATTACACATTCTTTGTAACTAGTTTCCTTTCAGTTATTTTTCTAGCAGCGAGTGTTAATTTTTGTTCTTATTTCTGACAACCCGCATCGATTATAGCTATGCTAATTAACTGCAGTTTGTAATGTTTATAACACACTTTCTTTATAAAAATGACTTGTTCTTTTTGCTGTCAGTGTTGGTGAGGCCAGTGGGTACTAGCCATGCGTGCAATTTCCAGGGTATGTGGAAATGAAAGTCAGTCAGGCCTACAACTAGTCGAAAAGCTGGTTACGCCCCTGCATGGGGTTGCAACGGCCTGAAAAATTTGTCATTAAAGGGATTGCGAGATGTGAAAGAAGGAGGAATTAGTGCTAGAAGACGGCAGCCCAAATATGGAGACTGTGCACGAGGAAAATCAACACTGTACATCAGACTATTTGGGAGAGTGACCTTTGACCGGCGGAATGGCCCTTCTCCTTTTTTTTTTTTCTTTTTTTTTTTTACAAAAAATGAAGGAAAAAACTGGTTCGCAGATTGGCTAATTGAGCTTGCATTTTATAGGAAAAATATCAGGATTTTTGTTAGTTTCTTTTCTCATTTTTTTCTCCCCACATCTCCAACTTTACTGATCAGCCCGCTCGTCATTTGTTACGTTTTGTTTCACGATGCTAGGTTCCCAGGTTGATTTATATTTTTGGGATCGAATGCCAGGCCACTTTGCAAGCTTTTGCAAGTGCAACAGAAGATTAAGGGCCTGTTTACATGGAGGCGGGGGACCCTAGGTAGGTGAGGTAACCGGCTTAGAAGTGGTAACCCGCTTGTCCATATAACCTCTCATTTTAATTTGATCACGTTTACATGATAGGTGTGGTGACCCGTCAAGGTGGGCAGCCCGGTCTGCAAGACCGGGTTACCCTCTCAGCCGGGGTCAAATTTTGCCATGTAAACGTTTCAAGGTGGGGTAACCCGCCTAGCCGGGGTCGGATTTGTGATACTTCAAATTCGCGCAAAATTCACTTTGGCGTTGGCTTTGCATCATTATTAAAGTTAACAATAGAGAGCCACATCACTGAAGGTTTCAGCAAGAGCAGCAACTGAGTGTAGAAGAGCATTAATCGCCAAAACACGAGGTTTGCCAGCATTTTTCTTGTTTACGTGCTTAGCGACCATTCAATAGTCTTGAGAAAGTGCACCCCGGGATAGCGGGGTTGTAACATTGCATATAAAGGAGGGTTATGTTTTTACGCCACCTAAGCAGGTTACTTCACCTATCTGGGGTTCCCCACCTCTATGTAAACAGGCCCTGAAAGTCTGTTTGTCTGTCTGTCTGTCTGCTTGTCTTGTCTGCTTGTCTGTCGAAATTTATGTATAATTGCATTGTTATTGTTGTGGCCGGATACTGGGCAACATAGGAGCTCTGCCAAAATATTAATTTCGGGATGGAAAAGAAGGCAAAAAAAAATTAAACTGTCTTTCATCATGTTAAGGACTAAATAAATTGTCTATGGGCCAAATTTCAGAACTATTGCGACCAAGAAAGGAAAGTTATTGCAATGTGTTAAACAGAAGTTGCCGGATACTGGGCAACATGCTGTACAGTGAAACCTGTATCAACAAGACACCCACAGTTACCCACGCCAGAGTCTGCGTAACAAAAATGTCTTTCTAAGAAAGTTCGTAACTCTTCGTGACTTTATATAAAAGGCTGTTAGCCTTCTAGTACAGGATGTCCGCTTAACATGGGTTCTGCTTCGTACAGGTTTCTCCGCTGTCATCATTCCGATATGATAAAATGTTCATATTTTAGAAGAAGGGAAATTATCCTTCTAAAACTCAGGCGAAGTCTCATTTAGGTCACGTTTTACAGCAATGAGTTGAACGTCAGATCTTTTATAGTCTTATTCTCACACGCAGGTCGGTGGCTTTACAGCTCCATTTACTGTGATAGGCTGTGTTATGATTTTCACAACTCCATGGGTTTTCCTGTTTTTACGAAGAACAGGTTAGTAAAGAAAACTCTAAGCTTCTTTATTTTGCATTGAAGAAATCTTTGGCCAACTAGCCTGTACCAGACTCTTGGTCAGAGTGGACGAGTAAAAAAAGCAAGTATTTTCACGTCGTAGTCGTGCAAAAACGGAAAAGAAATGAACAAAAAGTGTGACGCACGTGCGAAGTTGTTGTCTTACTTATTGAATAAGGTTATGATCATGATTGGTCAAAATTGACCAATTATAGGGTTTACCAGGAGCTGGTGTACCGGAATGAGGTATTGAAAACAATGCTTACAGGCCCCACTTACCTGTCTCTCGCCACCTCCCCCGCGGTTTTCGGGCAACTTTTCTCGATGCGCTTTCCGTACTATCTTAGAGCCTGGAACAGGCTACCCCTTACCAAGATTACGAATGAATATTTTGATGAATTTTTAAGGTGGCTTAACATAGCTTAATGTGCATCTTAAGCTCTCTAAGGAAAAAAATTCAATGACAAGCTGAGAAGAGTTCCCATAGAAGAAATGCCAGTAGAAATTTCTTTTACAAATAGCATGATCTCAGCGCTCATTTGCGTTTTGAGCATGCTTACTTAGGGAGTAATGTGAGACTGCTGGCTTAAGTTGACCGTCATAGACAACGACGATATCTTACAATCCAAGAGAGGATAAAGGGG